AGCTGGGTAGCTCTCAGTAACGCTGTGGGTAGTGATGCCCCACAGCTTTGAGTGCTCATGTGATGATGTCCATTCATTCGACAAATATTTTTCTTCCATTGTAGATACCAGAGACACAGCTGTGAACAAGCAACCCTGAACTGCTTCCCCATGGAGGTTACATTTTAGTTAGGCAAGAAGTAATAAACAAATGAACCAGAAAATGCAGAGTATGACGCATGATGACAAGTGAGATGGGTAAAACAGAGCAGAGAAGAGGCATAGGAAATGGGAAGGGGGTGACTGGAATAAGGTGGTGATGGTACCCGAGGAGGGAGCTGATATCCCAGCAGAGACTGAGGAGGTGAGCAGGCACACAATTGAATGGCCGTGTAAAGGGATTCCAGAAGGAAGGAGCAGCATGTGCAAAGGTCCTTCAAAGACGGGGCTAGAGTGTTGGAGGAACAGTAAAGAGTTCACTGGGGCTGAGGAAGAGGGAGAGAAGGGAAGAGTGGAAGGATGTGAGGTCAGAGAGGAGAGAGATGAGATCCAGGGCCTGTGGGATTTTGGCTTTCATTCAGGGATTCAGGGAAGCCTGGGAGGGTTCTGAGCAGGGCACTGACATGATGCGACTTGGATTTTAAAAGGTTCATTTTTGTTGCTGTGTGAAGCTTGGGTTGTGACAGGGAAGGGGTGGAAGGAGAGAATCCTGTTAAGAGGCTACAGTAATAACCCAGGCGAGAGATGATGGCGACTGTCAATGGAGTGAATGTGGGGGTGGGAAGAAACCATCAGATTAATGACATAATTTGAAGGTAAAGCTGATATCATTTTCTAATGGATTGAATGCAGGAAGTGAGAAAAAGAAACCAGTCATAGATGTTTGGCCTGAGAAGCTGGAAGGGTGAGTTAACATTTACTGACATGGGAAAGAATTTGGGAAGATGGAAAGTACCAATATGGGGATGCTTAGGTCAAGATACTTCTTAGATATTTGATAAAAGGAATGGAGCAAACTATTGATATACAAGTCTTGAGTTTAGGGGAGAGGTCTGGGATGGCAACATACAGTTGGTCATTGTTGGAAGATAAACAGGTGATATTTAATGCCGTGAGGCTGAATGAGACATGATAGCTAGGAAATGAGTGTAGATAAAAAAGAGTGCAAGGATCTATCCCTGAGCTCTCCAGTGTTAAGAAGGTGAGAAGATGAAGAGGAGACTCAGCAAGGATTCCAAGAAGTGGAATTCACCAAGTGAATTAAGGACAGAGCTAAACACGAATAGTGTCGCAGAAGCCAAGTGATGATAGTGGTTTACCAACAAGGGACAGTTGACTTCAGCAGCTAGATTCATGCTACAGACAGATCGAATGCAATGGCACTGGAGAACTGGCCACTGGGTGCAGTAACGTGGAGATCACGGGTGGTCTTGACAAGGGGTGCTTTGGTGCAGCAGTGGGAGCGAAAGCCTGACTGGAGAACATTCAAGAGAGAATGACAGGACAAGTACTGGGGACAACAGGGAGAGGCGACTCTTTTGCGGGAGTTTGCTAAAACTCCTCAAAAAGGAAATAACCTCAGCCTAGGAGAAATAGAAGAAGAAGGTGTTCATCTAGGTTCATATTTGTAGGAGATACTCCTGACATTTCTGTAGGTGATATCCACCTAACTGGTTCAGTCCCCTTCGCCACCTCAATCTGCACCCTTCACTCTTGCAAAAAGCTGCATAGATGTCATTCCCATGAGAAAGGGAAAAAGCTGGATAAAAGCCAGTTGTGGTGGCACATGCCTGTAATACCAGCAGCTCAGGAGGCTGAGGCAGGAGGATCACGAGTTCACAGCCAGCCTCAGCAATGGTGAGGCGCTTAGCAACTCAGTGAGACCCTGTTTCTAAATAAAATGCAAAATAGGGCTGGGGATGTGGCTCAGTGGTCAAGTGCCCGAGTTCAATCTCTGGTATCAAAAAAGTGCTCAAAGAAGAGCCGTTATCTTTTTATTGGTGATCCATAAAATCAAGACAAAGTGTTTGGTCTCATGCATAAGCATGGAGCTACCAGCTAGGCTCCCCACTGCTGCAAAACCATCTCAGTTTAAGGATGAAAATATCATCTTGAACTGCATTAGCAAATAAGATTAGCCTCTCTATTTGAGGTTCTCTGTTATGTCTATATCTTCTCCATGAGAATTCTGAGGAATGTTACCACTTACTGACTATAATATAGTTCTACCATTATTTAAGTGAGGATGAAGTCAAGGCACTTTCTTTAGGAAGTTTCTTCTGTAGTGGAACCTTAGCTACCCAAACTAATCTAACCCTCCCTTCTAATGCACTGAGTAGCTCTCAACCATGTGCATCTCTAATTAAGAATCTCTGTACTACAGTAATTACTGTAACTATTTCTGTTGATAATAATCCCTTCAATTTCTTTGTGGCAGATTGTACTATTTGTTCACAATTATTTGTCCATGCTTCTTTATAGGGACAGTATACAATTGTTCCTCAATATCCAGGGAGAATTGGTTCTGGAACCTCTTGTAAATACCAAAATCCCAGGATACTCAGGGTTTAAAATATATATATATTTAAAAATATATATATATGGCACAATGTTCGTATATAATCTATGCATCCTCCTGTATACTTTAAATCATATCATAGATTACTTATAATACCAAATAGAATGTAATTGTTCCACAAATAGTTGTTACACTAATGTTTATTGTTAAGGGAATAATGACAAGACAACAAGTCTGCACATATTCAGGATAGACACATTTTTTAAGGTATTTTTGATCAACGGTTGGTTGTATCCTTAGGTATGGGATGGTGGATGTGGAGAGCTGACTATACTTCTTAGTTCCATTATATTGGGGATAATATGACCTGCTTTAGCCAATGCAGTGTGAGCAGCTGTGATATCAGCCACATGTGAGCATGAGTCTGAAATTCTTTGTGTGGTGTTGCTCTATGCCTCCTGTAGTGAGCATCTGTCTCTGTCCTGAGGACAACATGAGTTACATGGTGGCTTCTCTGGCCACCATTCTCTGTATTCTGGAATTAGATGACATGCAGAACCTGGTCCAGCCCAGAGCCCAGCTGAATTCAAAAGAACTGCAGCTGAACAACATCCTTGTGTACCATGAGCCAGGTATGAATGTCTGGTTGCAGGTCACCGAGAGTTTGAGATCATTTGTTCCCGCAGCAACAGCTGACTGGTGTTCTCTTATTAGACTCTCAAATTCCTCAGATGCAAGTCCACAGGTGTCTTTATGGGATGCCCCAACACCCAACACGAGGCTGTGAAGCTGAAGGCCCCTAATAAGCACTTGCATAATAAGATAAGATTTATTATGTCCACGATAGCTCCATTGTCTGAAGTTTGGGATTAATTCATAGTTCCTATTGCTGACACATTGGCGTATCATCATAAGCTCCTTAAAGTTATGCTCCAAGTCACTCTCACCCTCCCCTTGCACATCCTGATGTCAGTCTACTGAGTTATGGATGATTGACCAAGAAATCCAATCACTTAGACTTCAAGAAAGTAAAGTTGGGTGTTGGCCATCATATATATGTTCATATATATTGTTTCTGTTCCTAAGATGGTCATATCCAAGTAGAGAAAATCTACTATGATTGTTCTTGTGAGGCTTATCTCTATGTTGCTTTTGAACTTAAGATGATCCACAGTCTTTACCCAGGGAGTTCTGCAATGAAAACAGTCAGCCTCCTGCTTTAATTATTCAGTAAATTTCCCTACCTTGCCTAGAGACCTATCTAGGCAAGACTGCAGCAATCAGAGACAATTTAAGGCATAATCCTGGGCTTCAAGGGGCCTTTAGTATAATTGAAGAGACAGAAGGTATGTGTAAAATGAAGACAATCAAGGATTGCATACCCTGTCATCCTTCACAGAAGGTACTGAAGTATGATAGGAAAATGAGTTGGGACTAGAAGTCAGGAGACGTGGTCTTGTCCTGGCTCAGCTGCTACTTAAAGTTATGGTAAGATTTTTTCACTATTCTAAGAATGTACAAAAAGGAATGGACAGGTTGATAAAGGGTCCTTCACATTTCTGTGGTGAAATTTCTACAACTATGAGATATCATCAAGCAGCACACATGTCACAGGTGCTCAGTGTGTGGCACAGGGAGGAAAGGTGGTTCCTTCAGGGGACCTCTTTGCTTTCCTGTTTCTTGCCCCCATCTCCAAGCTGGTCTGGTTCCAGCCCAAGCTTAGGTGTCTCCTGTGTCATGAGTCATGGCCTGAAGGTGCTGACATGAAAGTGTAAAGTCTCAGAAAATAAGCCCAGAATACTTCCCGGGAGCACAGGGGCTGGGGTATACTGGAGCTGATTCAGGTCCCCAAAGTTGCACTTTGGGGTACATCCATAGGGGATAGAAGGGAACTTGTCAATGTGGCCAACCTCTTGGTGGACAGTATTTTAAGAAGCTGAATACTCTTCTTGGGAAAAATTAGTTCTTACAATGATAGGATCCACAATGACAGCAGGCTCCTGAAGCCTGGTATTCCCGATTTGACATGAAAGAAGGAGGGGAAGACAGTGCTGGGAGAAATGGCAAGAGAGAGCTTTTAGAACACCCAGCAATGCTCTCCTGAGGTTCTCTGGAAAAATACAGAAAGTACAGATGATCTCATTGGCTGCAATAAATACCCCTCTCCTGGCTCCTCTGCAGCCAATATATTTAAATTCCCAGCTCAGGGCCTTGTGGGGTCTGCTCAGATGACCGTGGGGTTGTGCTCTGTGTCAGCAGTCTTCCTTTGGCTATGTGTCCATTGTGAACTTTTTCCCAGGTGTTTATAGGAGCTGGGACCACATGCATATGGAGGTACTTGCATCAGAACTTGGATTCTTTAAAACAAGGGACTCCTTTGTAAGAACATCCTCCATTTATAGGAAATCAGGTTCCTTTGTGGAGTGCTCCTGGCAGTGCAGCAAAAGGAAGTGGAAGCTGGGTACAAGGTAACACAGTGAACAGGAATAACGGCTTTACTTACTTGGGACTCCAGACACCAGCCTCAGGGGACGCAGCACACGGAAAGCCCGCAGCGCCTTCACGTCAAATCCAGCCCCTTTCCCTCCGAGAGCATTGGCCCCATCTGCTTTGGTTGCTTGTTCTAAAATTGCACTAAAAAGCCTAGAGGAGAGGAAAGAGAGCAGAGCTGTCAGGACCAGGTTTCATTGACCTGCTGGGGTTCCAATCTCTGAACAAGCTGGGACTAGCAGGCCGTGCACACAGCTAGGTGTGTTCATGGGAAGGCCCATGGATGGCTGGAAGTTGGCATTCTCTCCAAGAGTGTCACCACAGCCTAGAGAGGGCGTAACAAGGTGAGGGACAGAAAGTTTGCCTTGAGAACACATCTGGCTTTGTTCAAGCTGGGAGTGCTGGACAGATGTGTAAGGCCGGTGACACTGGCTGTCTCTTCTGGGATGCCCTCTGCCCCCTCTACGACATCCTAGTTCCACCTCCCATGAGTGCCAACAGCCACATACCTTCCCTTCCCACCCCCTAGCTCCTGGAAACCCCCTCTCTTTGATTTATTTCTGGGTACAAATAAATAATTCCATAGGAATCTATTTTGTACTGGCACATAATGGTTGCTCAGGAGATATATGTTGATCGAATGGATACCTGAATGGTTAAATGAAAAATTTCAAGTGGGAACAATCCACACATAATGGAGACACAGAGAATTCCTTTCTAACGCTGTGTGTCTGTCCTTTACAGTTATTCCTCCAATAAATATGAACAACTACTATGTGACAGGCACCATTCTGTTGCAATAGCCCAGGTGGGACACGTTGGGGGCTTAGACCTGGCAGTGGTGTCAGAGGCAATGAGAAGGAGTTGAGTTCTATGTTCATTTTAAGATCAAGTAATGGGATTGGCTGTGAGGTGTGAGGAAAGAGAGGAATGAAAGATGACTCCAATATTTTTGTCTTGAGCAGGAAGGATTAGATATGGCAGAATGGATATCCAGGATTCTACTGCTAACTTGCTGATGCTTGAGCCATTGATTGGACATCTGAATGAGTACTGTGACTTGGGTTAATGTGTCTGAAGGTCCAGGCTGAAGAAAAAATTTGGTAGATATATGCATTGTATTTAAAGTCAAATCATATGATCACCTAGGAGGCTAGCGCAGAGGCGAAAGTGTAAAAGGACTGAGCTGTGGGGTCCTTCAAGACTGAAAGGTCAAAACAGGAGAAACCAACAAAAGAGACTGATGGGAGTGGCTTGCGGGATAGGAGAGTGGAGAGAATGGTGCCCACAAAGGAAGTGGTAGTGAGAAGGTGATGAGTACCTGCCTTAGTGCTGCAGATACCACCATGAGCAACTGGCCACTGGGTTAGCGAAATGAGGACCTCGGACATCTAGAAACATCTGTTTTAGCAGAGTGATGGGGTAAAAGGTTAATAGGTAAGTCCATGAGCAAATGGGGGAAGGTGGAAACAGTGAGAAGAGAGAGCCCCATCTAATAGAAATATAATGCAAGCCACAAATGGGAGCCTGTGTTTAATTTAGCTGTTCTAATAGCCACATTAAAAAAAGCAAAAAAACAGGTGAAATGAACCGTGACAGTATAATTTATCTGGCCCAATATTATCATGTAAAAATGTAATAAATAAACATATCATTCTGTAAATATTTGCTATTCGTTGTTTTGTACTAAATATTTGAAATATGCTGTATGTTTTATACTTAAAGAATATTTCATATCAAATTAGCCACATCTCAAGTGCAGAAAGGCCACGTGTGGCTACCATACAGACAATTCTTTTTTTAAAAAAAAAAGTTTCACATTTGTTCTTTTAGATATACATGACAGCAGAGTGTATTTTGACATGTTGTATGTGCATGGAGTATAATTTATCCTAATTAGGATGCCATTCTTGTGATGTTGAATTACACTGGTAATGTATTCATATATGAAATAGGATAGCTATGTTCAATTCATTTTACTGTCTTTCCTAATCCCATCCCCTCTCCCTTCCCTTCATTTTCCTTTGTCTAATCCTGGGAACTTCTACTCTCCCCACCCCATCATTGTGTGGCCTTTGTGTTTGGGGGATTGGCTTATTTCATTTAGCATGATAGTCTCTAGCTCCATCCATTTATCAGCAAATGCCATAATTTCATTCTTCTTTATGGCTGAGTAACATTCCTTGTGTATGTATAATTATCAAGAATACAAATAACAATGAATATTGGTGAGGATGTGGGGAAAAGGTACACTCATACATTGCTGGTGGGACTGCAAATTGGTGCAACCACTCTGGAAAACAGTATGGAGATTCCTCAGAAAACTTGGAATGGAACCACCATTTGATCTAGTATCCTACTCTTGGGTCTATAACCAAAGGACTTAAAATCAGCATACTACAGTGATACAACCACATGAATGTTTACAGCAATGGAACCAACGTAAATGAACTTCAACCAATGAATGGATAAAGAAAATGTGGTATATAGACAACTCTTTTTAGCATTTTTGCTATAAAAGTGGACAGAATATAAAAGGTGGTCACCACAAGTGGCTGTGGAGTCAAGAGGTTTTGATGGGAGACACCACAGCATTTTTATACACCATGAGGAAAGTTGATGGTACAGAAGTGAGAGGAATGATTACTGGAAGGATTCATGTCCTTCAAGAGTCAGAAGGAAATCTATGGATGGGGAAGAGCGGTTGATCATGGGCCAGGTAGGAAGGCACATTGGAAGAGGACAGATGTGACTGTGGGAACATAAGAAAGTTTTCTCCTGCTTGTTTCTGTATTCTTAGGGAAGGAGGTACTAAAGTCATCAGCTGAAAATGTGAAAGGGGCGGGGGTACTGGGAGTTTGAAGAGAGAGGCAAAGATGGGAAATAATCAGGAGAGCAGAAAAGGGGGTAAGGTAGGGACATGTGGTTGGGTTGCTGGGTGTCACCAGGGGCTGGCTTGAGGTTGCTGGTCATGAGAGGGAAGCAAGACTTAGCTGACTTTTCTCAGCCCTTTCCAGGTACCATGTAGATCTCCATCTCATTGGACTTGATTAGGGCTGGTGTTTTTCCAGGGGAGCAAAAAACCGAGTGTAAATGCCAGTGGGTGGTTGTTAACAATGGAGTGTGGCATCTACACTGGTGGAAAGGACAAGAGAGGGAGGGGAACAGAGAGTGGATTGACGGAGTCGGGGTGTAAGAGAGCATGCTGACAAAGTAGGCGGTGCTGGTGAGAGCAGGATGCTGGATTTGAGCTAATGGGGAGGGTGCAGTTATCAGTTATGGCAGGGGGACTGGCTATAACCCTGGGAATGGGCAGCTGAGACAGGATGGAGGTCAGAATCCCCAGAGAAGGCAGCAAGGAACAAGAGGGCAAGATGGCAGAGTAGTGAGTGTTGGAGAGAGCTGGAGTGAGCCCAGAGTGAACGTCCTCCAGGTGCATGGAAGAGTGACTCAAAGGTATGCAATAAGGAGTAGGAAGCACAGGGTCTGATGACAGAATAGCCACACTGGAGGGTTTCAGGAAGGGGGAACGGGGGAGGTCTGAAAACAGAAAGGAAGAGAAGGCAGGGCCCCTCCCACTCTCCACCTCCACTGGAATGAGGCATCTGGAAGAGAGTGGCGCTACCCCCTGAGAGGGTGCAGGGAAGCAGCATGCTTGGGGGAGAGCCAGAAAGGGAAGGTAGTGACCAGAAACACAGCTGAGGATGTAGGGCAGGAGTGTGGCCACCTGCCCGCAAAGTTTCACTGGGCTTCAGTTACACCCACTCATTTCCATATTGCTCTTTTCCTCTACAGCCACAGACTCTTGACCAGGGGCTGCATGGGTCACAAAGCTGAAGACAGCATCTGGCCCTTTACAGACAAGCTGCCCTGAATAGATGATGACTATGGGGACCAGAGGGCACACTGCAAAGGGTTCAGGAGTGAGGTGGCGAGAGGGAAGGTTAGACCCCAGGTTCACATAATCAGATGGCAAAGGGACTCAATGTGACGAAGGATGACCCGGGCATTCTGGGCTTTGGGTGGTAACCAAGAAAAATAGGGAAAAGGGCAGCATCAGCGATTTCTGTCCTTTATGCCTAGAAATGACTCAATAAGTCATTGTCAGAATGTGTCCTGGGTTGTTTCTGCATTAGGGGGACCTGTGGCCAACAAGGAAGCCCAAGTCTTAGAACAGGGCCCGCCATAGCACATCTGAACAACGGCCTGGGGCAACTTTGCTTCTTGAGCTCCTGCTCCAGGAAACTGGGCCTATGAACAGGGTCCAGGTGCAGCTGAAGGCTGGACTGGCAGAAGTCAGAGCCAGGCACTGCCAGGCAATGCTGGGGTGGTTTAGAGTACGGCTTTAAGGGACTTCTTGGGCAGTGAGGTCAGAATTGAATGTCCGGGGTTCTAGTACCACTATCCCAGACTTAACAGTGGCTTCCTTTCTGTTTCCCGCCCCACCCCCCCCCCCAGTGCTAGGAATCAAACCAGGGCCTTGAGCTTATTAGAGAAGGACTCTGCCACTGGGCTGTGTCCCTAGCCCCCTTTTATCTGTTTTATGTACTTGGCCTGAGTGAAACTTTGAACAATGTGTTTTGCACCTAAAAGAAGTTTTGCCTAGCATGCACAGGCTCTGAGTTCAATCCCCAGCATCACCAGAGAGAAGGGGAAATACAGGCTGGGGATGTAGATCGGTGGTAGAGCACTTGTCTAGCATATGGAAAGCCCTGAGTGCAATCCCCAGCACTGAGAAAAATAAAGTTACGAAAATCATAGCCAGACCACATCTGAAGTGTCTCTCTCTCTCTCTCTCTCTCTCTCTCTGTTTTTTCTTTTTCTTTTTGGTACCAGGGATTGAACTCAGAGGCACTCAACCACTGAGCCACATCCCCAGCCCTATTTTGTATTTTATTTAGAGACAGGGTCTCACTGAGGTGCTTTAGCACCTCGCCATTGCTGAGGCTGACTTTGAACTTGCGATCCTCCTATCTCAGCCTCCTGAGCTGCTGGAATTATAAGCATGCACCACCACACCCAGCTCTCAAGTCTCTTAACTCTTTGATTCTGTGACTTAGTTTGGCAATGTGATGGTTTCCTATGTTAGTTGGATTCCTATGTCTTGAGTTCCAGGCAGAAGTTGCCAAGGATCAGGGGAGTGGATTCCTTTCTCTACAAGGGAAGTGTTCTTTCCACTGAAATCTAGATCACTAAAACCTGAGGAAATGGAGACCAGCTTGCAAGCTGGTCAAACAACATTCCAAATCCAAACCAGATTTTGTTCCCAGTATTTCCTGGAAGAAAGCAATATGCTTATTGGAATACAAGATGTTCACAAAATATTATTCAGTGAAGGAAGCAGAAATGAGACAGCTTTCTTCTCTATTAACCCCTACCCGAGCTTGAAACTCTTTCATTAAGTGTTGTCTTTTAATTTTGAAGGATAGATAATTTAGAAATGGGTACAGGAAGTGTTTTGGTGGGGACTGCTGGGTGAGCTTCTCCTCAGTTAGATGTTGTAAGGGCAAAACCACTGCTTTGTGCCTGCTGGACCTGGGGTGGGTCCTGATGTGGATGCTTGGCTGGGGGTTTCTCGGGAGGTGATGGGCAGTTCTGCAACCAGCTGCTGGAACTTTAAGAGAGGAGGACAAGGAGGCTCCATAGGACCCAAAGAATCAGAAAGGCAAGGCCATGCTGTGAGGGAGACAGGGATGTAACTAAAGGCTTTGTGGTGGGGTAGGATCTCCTGAGTGAGGGACCTACTGAGGAGTCCTTGGTTCTTGAGTTCAGGGCAGGTAGATTACAGAGGCCCTCTAAGTCCCCTCCACATTCACTCATTGGTCCCATCTCCCCACTGCACCAAGGAGACTCCCTGGCTCTGGGCAGGAAATGACTCCTGTGACATGCCCCCAGAATGGGAACGTAGAGACAAGAGGGATATACCCCAAGGCAGACTGACAGCCCTGAACTCTTCTCTGATTTATAGGAGGCTAGAAGAAACCTTCGGTTAACTAGCTACAGAGGGAGGGGGCCCAGGAGAGCAGAGATTTCCCAAGAGACTCAGGAAAGCAGAGGGGGGTTCATTTAATACTGTAAAGGGGGCAGGAAAAAAGTCACATCTGGAGAGAAGGGGTGAGCTACACCCTCTGGGGATGGAGGATCATTTCTCTAGTTGGAAGGATGAGCTGAGATTTAGACTGGGTGGAGAGCACCTAGGACCAAGGCTCCTGGAAAAGATAAACTAGTTGCTAAATATGGCCAAGTGTGAGATGAAGGGAGAAAACACCCCAAAGGTCATGGTGAACTACAAGCTGAGCAAGTGTTGGCCTCATAACCTCTGTGGTTTAAAACATTAAACACAGGCATCTTTCAGAAGAGAGCCAAATCTGGATGCCTCCCTCTCTCCATCAGCCTCATGGCCAAAACCCCAGGGAGAAGTGACTAGTCTCTGGACCAGTCCAATGAAAAGTGTGCCTCCTGTCAAGGTGGGGAGGACCAACAGTCTAAGGGATGAAGAAAGGGCCAAATAAAACTGCAAACATGCAGTGTAGGCCAGCCATGCATGTTCTCCTGAGCGGGAAGGCATGGTCCTGCCTTTCCAGGACTCCTATTTGAGGTCTCCCCTTTTTTTTGGTCTCCTTTTCTCAAGCTTCAGGTAAGTAAGGTCATGAATGGGGCAGGGTATATCTAGTCAAATTCAGCCCTTTTCATAAACACGGAGCATCTCTGCCTAAAAACTTGTCCTGCAAGTCAACCCATCTCTCCACTGGTCCCAGAAGCGTCAACTCTCATTCCTGAGGCTTCTGTCTTTGCATGTGTCACAGGTTACCAGGAGACTGAGGCCTTGAGAAACAGGCTGAATTTAAAAAGGATTTAGGGGTTCAGGGAACAACCCACCTTTAGGACTTTTGCTAGGGTTTATTTGCTGAGTTCATTCAAGACTTTTCTTTAGCCACTCTGTTTATTCTGGCATGAACGGCAGTGGCAAAACCTCTCATGTAACTGTGTCCTTACCCCGGGTCCCTGCAGCCAGACCTATTAATGGCTAATAACTTTTGTACTCCTCGTGACACCCAAATACCCCTGATGTTCATGTGGCCAAAATGCGTCATTCATTGGCCAGGCAACATGAGACAACACAGGAAAAAGCCTAACACGTTCCAAACAACTATTATGAGCCAGCCAGATGGCCAAGGACAAGGAAATAACTTGTAAATAATCTTGATTTGCTCCTGTGTTATTTCCTGCCATAAAGACCAGGCGCTCCCCCGAGATAATGAATGGCGAGTGCTCTGTTGAAGCCCGCAGTGGCTCAGGTGTGTGCTGGGATAGCACAAAGGGAGTCACCAAAAATAGCCTCCTGGTATAACAGCCTCCTGACATCCTGCTCTTCATACTGAATCCTGTGGGGACCCGGAATCATGCAGGGTGGCCACCATGGAAGCATTTGCCAGGTGCCAAGTAACACAAGGTTAGCTTGGAATTGCGAGCTTGTTGTTGAAGAGAAGCTGCTGGACAGGTGGCCCCCGTTATCAACAAAACACAGGAGTCATTGGAACTTCATCTACTGTGTCCTAAGGTACTCCATTTCATACAGTGCACGCAGGCCTGTGAGGAACAAATACGTCATCGAGAATCTTGAAAGGAAATTTCTTGATAAGGAAAATGTCACTTCCAAAATGGGACAAAATGGGATTTTTTTTTTTTTTAAGCCACTATCAATTGTGCCTCATCCTAACATGGAACAGTATCTGGAGGAAGGTACCTCAGCTCAGGCCGGGTGGAGTTACCCACCACCTCGGCCTTTCAGAGTTCTGTTTCTTTCTCACTCGGTTGTCTCAAGCAATCTGGTTTCTTGGGGCCACAGAGCAGGGCCTGTGGAGCTGGGGACAGGATGGTATACATGAGCAATCTGTGGACCAAAGGCATAGCCTCGGCAGGCGTCCCCACATCATGCCACACGGGTGGGCTGGATACTCCCAGGCAACCTGACTAAATCTGCTCAGTGATACAGTGGGAAAGCTGGTCAGAAGAACTGCTGGCTCAGATGTGGTTGGAGGGGGAGAGAAAAGTCGTTAAGCAGAGGAACTGCTTCATCTGCACAGAGGAGCCTGGTGCCATTAAGAGCACACAAATTCAAGTGTGCGTATGTGTGTGTTTGTGTACATATCTGTGTGCATGCATGTGTGCATATGTGTATATATCTGCCTGTGTGTGTGTGTGTGTGTGTGTGCATGCTGATGCATGTGGGAGTGGTGCTGTTAGGTAATAGCTCTTCTCCCTTCAGAAAAAGTCTGAACTCAAAGTGATTGTTAACATCCTTTCATTGCCTGAAGTCTAGTACAGTTTTGACTAAATCAAAAAGAGATACGAGGAGAGGGAGAAAGAGGTGTGCATGGGTAAGGCAAGGAAAGGAGAAAGACAGATGTACTTACCCTACAACCACAATTATAAAATCTAGTAAATTCCAACCGTTGCGGAGGTAAGCGTTGGGGTGAAAGAGAAGACCATAGGCGATTACTTTTAAAAATGCTTCCACAGTAAAAATTATGAGAAAGAGATATTCCACTCGTTCCTAGGAAACAAAAACAGAAAAAAAGAGAAAAAATAAATCATTAGATTAGGGATGTGGAAAGTTCTGAACCAGCAGATTTCACACGTAGGGTCAAGTACCACATGATGGCACGTCAGTCATCCACAGACTGCAAATACAATGGAAATTCCACAAGACTTTATCACTTAGTGACATCATAGCTATCTTAGTTTGTGTAAGTACACTCCATGATGTCACTGAAATCACCTAATGTCACATTTCTCAGAATGTAATCCCATTGTTAAGAACACACAACAAGGGCTGTGGCTCAGTGGCAGATCATTTGCCTAGCACATGCAAGGCACTGGGTTTCATCCTTATCGCCACGTAAAAAAATTAACACATAGAATAAAGGCATGCAGTCCAGCTCCAATTATAAACAAACAAACAAACAAACAAACAAAGAACACATGATGGCAGATGGAAGAGAAGGCTTCCTCCTCTGTGGTAGACATAAGGAATACTAAGGAGTGGACCTCCAAGCCAAATTAGGAAACCCACAACTTCTTCAACCATAAGAGCTCCAATCCACTACGGATTAAAGGGCGTGTGTGTGTGTGTGTGTATGTGTGTGTGTTCAAAGTTCTCTGTTAAATCATAAATATTAGGGTGGTATACAAATTCACATTGTTTTCTAAACATTGTATTAAACCAATTAACATTTTATTGTACCCTCTTTGAAGAAAAGTCAAAATGTCTTGATCTAAAGGGAAAAAACACCAAGAGAGAGGAGAAGGATGCTGAGAAAAGGGCTGGAGCAGAACCCCATGATTTTCAAATGCCTCAATTCTGCAGTAAAAAATAGTGAAGGTCACAGACACGGTTCTGGGAGGGTACCAGCTGAGTACCCTCCATAACAGCCGCAATACAGCCAGCCACAAAGAAATCAAGACACTGAAGGTCTCGTCACAGCAGCCAGAAGACAACCTGTTCATATACATGGATACAGAAATTTGAGATCTCTTCTGTGAGCAGATGAGACTCTGTCCAGAGACACAGACCAGGTCTGCAGAAGAAACCAGCCATCTGAGAGTGGAAGCAGTCACCAGGGTGGGTGATGAATAGAAAAGGCCAGTTCTTTTCTCAAGGAGCAGAGGGTTATCTTTTCTCTCCCTGCTACCCTGAAGAAGGGCTTTGCATTTAAGGATGCAGTTCCTATCCCTGGGCGCCACAGTCCACAGGGCAAACTCATTGACTCAATTAGAGCGAGCCGACTCCCTGTGCTGATTCCCTCACTTCCCTCACCATTAATTGCTCCCTTCTCCTCAGCCCCCAGCACAGAGCCTTAATGGCCCCCACCAGGTAAAGGCTGCCTGGATGCCTTCATGCTCCACTGCTCTTCTCTGCAAGAGCTTCAGCCCCAATCTCACTGGAGCCACCAAATACTTGTCCATGTGCATTCAGGTGCAGGTTTTCCAAAGCAGGGCTTGCCCATCCACTGTCCCCAGGAGACACTAAACTCGGAATCACCAGGCCCCCCTCTTCTGCCAGGTCAGAGGGACCTCACTAAAGACATCCAGGTCCATGCACATTCTGGAAAGGGGCATTGCCTACAAAGGCCCACCTCTCCTGCCAAGCTGGCTGGCAGGGTGCTCTAAATCTGGGGCACTTGGGAGTCTGATGGGTAATTCTGCAGGGACAGGTACCCTCTGCCCCAGTCACTCTTTCTCATCTCCTAGACATTTAATGAGCTCTGGCCTCACTGTGCCCAGCTCTGAATGATGCAATTTGAAGACACTACACTAAAAACTGCAGACTTCTGGGCCCCATTCAGACCTAGTAAATAGATCTCCTGGCCATGAAGCATAGCAATATGTATTATAGATGATTCCAGGTGTTTCTGAGGCAACTCAAAATCTGAGGGAAGCCACCAGCACAGGTGCTGACAAAGGCCTCCATCAGGCAGTATCAGGAAAGGAGCGGAGGGTTCAGATTCAGTCATCATCTAGAAGACTCATCTTTTACTCCTCCCCTTTTAGTACCCTACAGTAGGTCTGCGGATGTAGCTGCCTTGGTGGTTGTGACCCAGGAACAATCTATGATGTGTGGAAGCATCAGCCTTTTCAAATTAGGTGATACTGTGTTAGAGCATACATTAGGCCATGTTAACAGGGAAGACATCTTACAGAAGGGCGGCTGCAAGCTGAGGATACTTGTAGAAGGCGAGAGAGGGAGGAGCTATCAAACAGCCACTCAGCCCCAGTCGTCTTGCCCCCACCCCCATGAGCGAGCCGACTCCCTGTGCTGTCCACCCATCCACCCATCCACCTACCCATTCACCCACCCACCCACCCATTCATCCATCCATCTAATCATTCACCAATCCACTCATCCATCCATCTACTCCGTTATTCAAGACCAGGATGGAACAACTAAGTGAATTGTCAGAAAGTGACATGGAGTTCTCTTTGGGTGGCCTAGAAATGAACTTTTTGGGAGAGACAGCACCCAAGCTCAGAGTCCTTCCTCCCCCTCCAGGAGAACACCAATATTCCAAAGACTCCAAGGGCCCTACATGCTAGGAAGCTGGCATTCCCAGACAACTTCCTATAAACAGCAGGCACCCCCAATCCAGACTGCCCGGCACCAAGCATTCTGTTTATTCCCTCATTGACAAGACTACTTTCCCTTGCTTATGTGTCCTTTAAAAAGACAGCACCGTAGGGGAGGAGGGGACCCTCCACTGGGATGCAGACTCAGCAGCATCCTGGACCTGCCACATAACTTTGTGAGATAAGGGGATTGGGGGATATGTGACTTCTCTTAATTAACTTTGGCCTACATAAGTTTTCCCAATGAAGACTGTTCCTTAATCCATGCCATGTGACATCTGTTCCACACCCTGGTAAATAACACATAGCGATCCAGAAGGATCCACCCCACACATCAGTGAATCACTCAATCAAAAATTCACTCAAACATTCACAAATGTGCTTATGTATGTTGCTGGGTGCTGGAGAGCTGAGATAAAGAGCTCAGAAACTGGGTGGAGAGGAGCCTCAGTCCAGGAAGACAATGCCTTCCAAAGGCTCATGGAGCTCGACATGGATGAGCATGCACTGTCTTAGCTTTCCATTTATCCTCCCATGCACACATGTCCCACCTGGTCAACTGTTTACAAGCTCCTAGGGGACAGAGATTTTGATGGACAATGTTTTGATGGTAATACTCAATAATCTTAATTCACCACCAACTGGTATGTGTGGCTTAGGCCAAGTCATTTTATTTCTCTGGGTCTGTTTCCTCATATGTACACAAAATTTTTAAAATTACATATCTGTGTGTACACACACACACGCGTGCGCGCGAACACTCACAGACCTAGGCTCCTAGCATGTTTTTGGAACAGGTGAGGAGAAGGCTGAAAAAATAGGGCTTTGACGCCTCATCCCTTCTTGAGCCAGAGCATTGCCACGTTAACCCACATTGGGTTGAGTTGTCCAGGAGTCCTAACCAGCTGAATAGAGTCCAGAGAGCTAATATGATGGAATATGAACATAGAATACACACACACAGACACACAGACACACACACACACACACAAGCAGTGGCTGCCTTTACCAACCACTCTGGAAGACTTTTGTTAACTTTACCTGCTGGATTCTGCATACAATTTTACTCGAGAAGAGGGATCACTGCTTTTGTAGTTTTTCTGATAACTTGGAACAACAAAGTGATCCAACTTATAGATGACTTCTGAAACACCTCTGAAATGCTTTGGCAAGTGAGGATGCTGCTCACCAGCCTGTGTGCAGATGTGGCAAAGGTACAGCTAGATCCCAGGACATGGAATGGAGCTAAGAGCTCTTTCTCACTTTCTCTCCCTCTTGTTCTGGGACTCACCATAAGTGCAAATAAACATTATAATAAAAATACCCATCATCTAAAAATTATTAATAATGGTGCTTTAGGGGAACACAAATTCCTTATGAGCAGAAGTTAGGTTAGGCTAGATCTTTTAGGACAAAGACAACCAGGGAGGGACTGATGTGTCTCTCCATATGGGTGCGTTTCGGCAGCACAGCTACAAATACTGTAAAGCTGTGAAATGCCCATCTTCCTGTGCTGAGCACTACAAGGCTTTAGGCTTGCGCTGGGAAAGAGCCAAGGTGTGAGAATTCATACCCAGAGAGCCTGTGTACCTACTTGAATTTATGTATTTATTGAGGCTACCAAGAATTCTGCATCAAACAGAATTGATGAGAAGCTCATTTACACGATTTTATCGAGGTACAAGGGAAAAGACAATAGACACAATAACAATACTTCACACAGCACATTGTTTTCCAGATTGCTTCATAACGTAAGTACTGTTCAACCTGACCTCTAACTACAGTCTCCAGTCTCTTCTCCAGCTAAGAGACCTTAGCTCCTCGCTCTCCGGTCCTCTCGTGCATTCATCCTGCATCACAAATACTTCCTGAGAGTCTGCTCAGCCCCAGGCCACATTGCAGCAGTGCTCTCTCAGGAGACTGACAGATGTGTAGAATGTTCAAAGCTGTAAAATCAGAGACACACAACCCCACCTCCTCATTGTGCAGAAGATAGGGGCTGCACCTCTTGCTCAGGGCATGGGCACCTAGGTTTCTTAATGACAGATCTGGTGTGTCTTTTGCTACAGTGCAGCTGTCCCTGTCTATGGACTGAGGAAGCTCTGGGTTAAGGTTTTCAATAGACATCACTAGATAGGGCATCCCACCCTTGGGGTCTCCACTGGTACTTGAGACTCAGCCAGGAAGCAGACTTCCATCTACCAAGCAATGGATAAACTAAATAGGGAATATACACACAAAGGAATATTATTTAACCTTAAAAAGGAATGACTTTCCCACACATGCTATGGCATAAAGGAACCATGGAAACATCATGCTAAGTGGAAGAAGTCAGTCGCAAAAGAACAAATACTGTATGACTCCCCTTGTATAAAATACCTAGAATACATAAATTCAAAGAGACAGAAAGTAGAAAAGAGGTCACTAGGA